GAGATCATATGGTCGTTTAGGGGACTGATGTGAGACTTAGGACATCGGAATTGATGCGGAGTGGATGCAGAACGAGTTATCAGTTTAGTGTGGTATGATAGCGAATGCGTGTGTCGATCGGCGATACATCGGAACACGTCGATATCGAGATCGACGAGGTCTGGTGCGATGTAGAGGTATCGGATGGGTGATTATTGTCGGATTTGGTGCCTAGAGTGAGTGCATGCGTATCACCGCACTCGCATTTTATATTTTCCCGTACTTAGACACTGCCTTAGCTACAGTTTAACATAACTCAGAACTCCGGAACTCCCAGACCCTGCCACACCCTAGTAGTATATAAACCGTAGCTAATCCATGTACTTTCTTTAGTTCAAATATCGACTTAGATTCCTCACTCTCTAGTCCCCTCAGACCTTTGTCTTAAATCCATTACTTATCTGACCCTTTGTAAATTGAGATGAAGAGAGGTTAGAGAGGGCGCAGCACATAAGCTGAAGCTGTATCGTCCCTCTTGACCTTCTTACCTCAAGCCTGGAACTCCGATACCCACAACGGTGCAACCCCATAACCCCGGCCAGACTTGGAGTAATAAGAATCTGTACGGTGAACAGTTCTTAACAATTACCATATTAGGTCAGTCTGATCACAAAACAAAAATCACCATTGTATTCATATTAAAAAATAGGTTCAGAAATCATATATTTGAGAAATTGCCATATTAGGTTAGTCCAATCACATAATGGATGTTACCATTGAATTCGTATCAAAAAATAGGTCTAGAAAATATATACATATGTATATTTGAGAAATTATCATATTAGGTTAGTCTGATCACCTAAAGGATATCACCATTGAATTTGTATCAAAAAATAGGTGCAGAAAATGTATACATACATGTTTATTTGAGAAATTACCATATTAGGTTAGTCTGATCACCTGAAGGATATCACCATTGAATTCATATCAAAAAATAGGTGCAGAAAATGCATACATACATGTTTATTTGAAAAAATACCATATTAGGTTAGTCTGATCATGTAACACCTGGGACATAACAGCATTTGTCCCTTCAATGAAATTAGAATACTACCTCGAACAATAAATAGATTATTGTTATGCTTTTGCCTACTGGAGATAACCCAAGTGAGAATTAGATTCTGGAATTAATTATTTGAGGCAGACAAAAGAATAAGCCGTATTCAGAATTTATCCAGAGGATATAATCTGAATCTGGATAACATATTTGTTTAAGGGACATAACTATTGTCAGAATTTGATTGCGCCAATTGTTCCGTCAGGTCAACAAAAGTGTTTCCTGTATTTAGATTATTTCTTGATGACAAAATTATTGTTTGGCCCTGGGCAATGATTTTGTCATCAAGAAATAATCTAAATACAGGAAACACTTTTGTTGACCTGACGGAACAATTGGCGCAAT